GCTGAATTGTGTAATAATAAGAAAAAGTAAGATGAAAGTTATTTTTCTGACTGTATTGGCTAAAGTTAGTGTAATGGATCATTTTAACTATTTTTTCATATAATGTTTTCTTTATTTTATTAATAAAATATATTTTAAATATAACTCTTTCATAAATCAATAGAATCGACCAATCCAGCCACTTCAACTAAAACTTCATAAATTTCAACGGAATCAATCAATACAACCGATTTGGATATTACCAAACAGACTTTTAGACTAAGATCCCATTTGGCAACCCTGTTTTATGGCTTATCAGGCTTATCAGCCAACTTTTTCACCAAACACGTAAGTTTTGCTTTCGCGCGCTGGATTGTGTAATAAGAAGAAAAAGTAAGGTTGGAGTTACTTTTCTGGCTGTATTAGCTGAAGTTACTATAGATGACCATTTTAGCTATTTTTACATATAATTTTTTCTTTATTTTATTAATAAAGTATATTTTAAAAATAATTTTTTCTTATATCAGCAGAATAAGCCAATGCAGCCACTTCAGCCAGAACTTCATAAATTTCAACAGAATCAGCCAAAACAGCCGATTTCCGTGCTACCAAACGGGCTCTAAGATTATAAAAGAAGCTAGATGAATTTAGAAGGTAAGTTTGAGTTTGTTCACATGATAGAGTTAATTAAACAATTTTGCTATAGGTTCCTCACCTTTTACCCCATTTACACCCCATATAAATAGTCCAATTTTTTTCCTCTTCTTTCCTTCCTTTTCGTGCGCCTAACCCTTCTATCTCCTTTTCCCCTTTTCTCTGTTCCTAACTCATCGCTCTCTTATATCTCTGCGTCTAAGGGGGTGTTTGGAACTGATTCTGCTTCTGCTTCTTTTTTAAAAGAAGAATCAGAATCAGAATCAGTTTTCAGAAGCTGGTACCCCCCAGCTTCTAAAAAAACTGATTCTGAGAGTAAATTAGAGCTCCAGAAGTACTTCTGGAATTTCACCCAAACACTCCAGCTTTTGCTTCTGCTCCCTGAAGGAGCAGAATCAGTTTTGAGAATCAGATCCAAACACCCCCTAATTCATCTTCTTCTTCTCGCCTCTTTTTTTTTCTCATATTTCTTTCTTCCTTTTCTGCGCCTGACCTTTTCTCCCCTCTGTCTTCAGGTACTCCCTCTTCCTTCTTCTTTGGTGTGAAGAATCCCTAGCGCCCACAGTCGGATAGCACTTGAAGACCAACTTCAGCACTAACCGCACTGTTGCAGCTCGAATTAATACATACAACATTGATAAATATGGTCTACTCCTGTCCATAACTCCCTTCTGTATGCTCCTCTATCCCTTTCTTCTTTACCCAATTTCTAATTTTAGGGTTTTTAATATCTATGACTTTTTTGGGGAAAAAGAAGAGAATTTTCTCATTTTCTGTTAATACCAATTACAGTTTCAATAGGTTTTATTCTTTCCTGAATTTATGTTTTATTTTTTCAAGAATTGATGCATCTAAAGTGTATTCTCTTTCACTATTGTATTGCTATATTGGTATAGATTTGTGATGATTTATTTTTAAAATTGTAATTCAACTATTCTATTCCACTTTTATGCTCATGCCTCATAAGATGTCTGTTGAAATGATTTGATTTTATTGAAATTTAAGATATCAGCCTTAAATTTCACCAAGTAGTGTTCATATATACAAGCAATGGAATATGTATTTGCTACGAATTTAATTAAATTAAATGTTGATTTTGAATTGTTCATATATACAAGCAATGGGATATGTATTTGCTACAAATTTAATTAAATTAAATGTTGATTTTGAATATGACTTGTTAATTGTGATTGCTCGTAGCTTATGGAAACTCAGATTCATTTTGCTTTATGTGAGTTGTTCTCCCTATCCAAATCCCTTGCAGCCTTGCAGTCGGTATATGAGGCTGTGCAAGGTCAAAGCGGGTAGAGCGTATACTTTGAAGTAAAATTTTCTATGTAATCCTTGTTATTTATACCCCTTCAAACTTGCAAGGTTATACTACGAATACATTAATATTTCACTTTTTTGTTGTAGCTCTGCTAGTGCTGTGATGTTTAGAAGCACACTCAGAAGACATGAGTGAAGAAACCTTAAGTGAAGAAAATGCTGAAATAAAGATGGGAACCTTCGGTGAAGGAAATGGTGAACCAGAGCATAACTACGGACTATCAACGAATTACGTCATTTTAAACTCATTTATGCATAATTACGGACTATCATATTGTTCATCTTTTTACTAGTTTGTGTGTGAACTGTATATAATGTATTTACATCTAATTATCGTTTCTAGATATGTTTAGGAAGGTAACTTTACTCATACAAACAACTATTGTATTGACACAAACAAATATTAAACAGACACAAACAACTATTGTATGGCACAAAAAACTACTGTCTGGCATTGACATCTATTGCCGGGTAAGTGCCAACTATTTTGTGGGCACATATAATTATTGTCTGGGCAGGACACTTATTCTTTGGATAAAGACAACTAATCCTTAATAAGGATAGATGTGTGTGTGGCAACACAAATCCAAACTAATACAACAATGTAATAAGCACTCACTTCAACAGTTCAACATCATAACAACATACTATGTATATTGTAGTGTATACCCCACAATGGGGGGTTTGCTTTCAGAAAACAAAAAAACATAAATTTTAAAAATGAAAATATTTTACCCTAAACACACAATGGCATTTTGTTTGTGTCAGACATTTCATGTTGTCTAGACCTTGCAAAAGAATTTTGTGTAACAGACAATATTTGTCTGTGCTAGACATTTTGTGTTTGGATCTTGCAAAAGAATTATGTGTAACAGACGATATTTGTCTGTGCCAGACATTTCGTGTTTGGTCCGGACAAAAGAGTTTTGTGTAACAGACAATATTTATTTGTTCAGACATTTCATTTCTGGGCCTGATAAAAGTGTTCTGTCTAACAGACAATATTTGTCTTTCCCAGACAATTCGTGTCTGCATCTGACGAAAGAGTTTTGTCTAACATACAATATTTGTCTGTGCCAAACAATTCATGTCTAACAATTTTTTTATTCATTTCACACACAATTCACTTTGAAAACAAAAAAATTGTCTGTCACAAATAAAACTTGTATTGAAATTGTCTGTACACACATAAAACTTGTACACAGCCAAACAATTATTGTCTGTACACACAAATATTGTCTGTACACAGACAATTTACATACAACTATTATTTAAACATAAAATAATTATTTAGGCACAAACTATTACTAACGATAGTTACAATGTGTTACAATAGTTATCTCGGCCATAAAATTATCGTGTGGAGCTATTGAACAAATATACAACATGTCTCTATATGCTTTTCAACAAACATAAAACATGTCTTTACATGCTCTTCAACGAACTTATACCAAAATGGGTATTAGATTACCTATTATTCAACTAAATTACAACATGTCATTCGCCAAAATTCAAAGTCATTGTCATAATACAAAAGATACACTTCGAAAATATAATTAACTCTTTTTTTGGAAACTCCATTATCAAGCTTTGCGGTGCAATTAAAAACACTATTCTACATGTCAGCATTGTCATTTGGAGAAGCTAAATCATCCATAGCAGCCAACTACTTTCGTTTACTTCTTGGAGTTCCATGCTTTTGTCTGCTTCTTTTGTGGTCGGCTTAAGAATATCTTCTGCCAACCTATGGTTTCCTGCATTTTGGACCATAAATCTATTGAAGGGAGACCCAACTCCACAGCCAAGTCCAGACACTGCTTTGCATACTCTCCTGTCACTAGACATTGCAATTTCCATATTTGATTATTAATTGCAGCCCAACTATGCCTAATAGGCTAATAGTAAGGAATTACTCTAGACCAAAAGAAGAAGAAAGTCCATTCTAACTACCTTAAGAGATTATTTTCTTGAATGCAGACATGGAATGGAGAACTTCATATTTCAATAACTATGTAGTGCAGGCGCAAATTGTTTGTGTATATGTAGCCTCGAGCAAATTTGTAACTCTTTTGCTAAGAACCCTAATTTCACTAAGGTTTAACACTAACACTTCAAAAATATACATAGCAAAATCACAACAATAAAGTAAAGTAGTCAAACAAGCAAAATTATGCACAATTTGAAGTGGAAAATTATAAAACAAAATCCAAAAATCATCAAATATAATATGATACGGAGTATAAACAAAAAATTCATTGAATCATTTCAACAAACATGTTATGGGCATAGTGATGACATAGAGTAATTGGACAAAATTTTCAATAAAAAACATCGAAAAGCTTCACAATAACAACAAATAATCAACCATTCAACATTACAAGATATACAAACTATTATTCATAAAATAAAAAAAATAACAAAAAAATGAAGAAAATGGAAAGAATGGAGAAAGAGGCATACCGGAAGGAAAAAGGGATGGAAGAGACATACTGTAGCCCAACTCCATTGAAGAGGCTTGCAAATGGTGTGTCAATAATGACCTCCGTTCATTCGAGCACTGTAGCTCTCACGTTTGAAACGAAAAAAGATGGAAGAGGGAGTACCTGAAGACAGAGAGGAGAAAAGGTTAGGCGCAGCAAAGGAAGAATGAAATAGGAGAAAAAAGGAGGCGAGAAGAAGAAGAATTAGGCACAGAGATATATGAGAGCGATGAGTTAGGCACAGAGAAAAGGGGAAAAGAAGAGAGAAGGGTTAGGCGCACGATAAGCAAGGAAAGAGGAGAAAAAAATCGGACTATTTATATGTGGTGCAAATGGTGTAAAAAGTGAGGTAGCTATAGCAAAATTCTTAATTAAATGTGTGTGCACGTAAATGCAATGGATAATGGATATGGTACTATATTGGTTTAAAAATAGTCTACCACGTGAAAAGTGAAAACCTACCTATACCAATGTACCATGTGAAATTAAAAAAAAAACTTAATGTACTGTACTACAATAAATTAATACTCCCTACAAAATTAAACATTACATACGTACCAATCACCAACCAAATTTGTGTCTCAAACATTATAAAGTACAATCAGCGCCACCCACAAAACACATCTCCTGCCGCCCGGACATCCCCTCCTCAGGTTTCCTTCTCTTTAATTTTGTTCTGAAATATATACTTGGTTTTTTCATTACCCACATGGAGTTCGATTTTTTAGTCTTTGGTTTTTAATTTGTGATCTGTGTTCGAATATATTCATTTTTTTTTTATAAAAACTTTGTCAATTCAACTCGAATTGGTTTGTTTATATTTTGTTAATCTATTAGCACCTTAGGCTTCTGTAAATATTAATATTTTGTTACGTAGTCTGTCAATTTTGAGCCTAACCCCCACAGGCCGGCCAACATAGGTGTGCTAGCTCGTGGAAGAATAAAAGATCCTTCACATCAACCAACATAAATGATCGAGTGTGCTAATTAATCAATACATACTTGTATTAACAAAGAAAAATTAATTCAGCCTTCTTAATGGTCATTTGAATTCACAATATTTTTAATTGAACTCAAATTTTAAGTCTGGTCTGATTTGATCTGGTAGATGTATAGTGTGTGTTTTATAATTATTGAAATCTAGTCTGATTGTTGAAGTCTGGTTTGACTTCTTTTGATCTGATTTAATTTATTTGTTGACATACTACGATTATGACTCCAAGTCTCCGGCCAAATTGACTCCAAATTTTAAAGAGATTATTAAAAACATACGAAGTACGTATATAATGAATGACACCAAATCTAATATACTCTTGATCGACTTGCATATGTTTATCTTTTGTATATTAAGTAGTAATGAGTTCTGATTTGACAAAAATGTGACTAATAAGTCATCTCAACATGAGAGACAGATCTATTAGGAGGAAAGAGGCTCTAATATGAACCCCAACACTTGGCATAACGTACTCCTCTTTCACATCAAATCGGGAAGCCTAACTCACTTGGTAGAAAGGGGGTGTCACTAGGGAGAAGTCTATGGTTCAACTCCAGTGATTTATGATGAAACATCACTCCCTTTTCATCAGAGTTTTAGATCAAAGTTCAACTCACATCCTTCCAGTCTGTTCGGTCGGTTCTGGGGGCCTCAAGGATGTGTTGTCCTTTCTTTTTCTTCTTCACATCACACGCCTATCATTCCCCTTCTTCACATCAAACACACGGTGCCACAACGACCTTAGATTCTTCCCCCTTACGAGTCTATACACAGTTTTGTAAAGTGTCAACGTCAGTTGTCGCGGGTTGCTTAATTCGAGATGATGACGCTAGGCTTAAAACAATATGTGTGTGTATCATATAATACCCCTGTCCTAAAAAGATATATTGAGCATATAGACTTTTCTTGAAATTCTAGACAATGATTTTAATTATTATATTTGTGTGTGATTTTTATATTTTATATTTTTATGAAAGAATTTTTAATAAAGAACATGTTCATATAATTTTTCATATTTTAAAAATTTTGTATTAAAAATTATGATTGGTCAAACTTGATCACTATTTAAAGATTTGACAAATCCTTACAAGAAGGAATATATAACATGAATGTTAATTTTATAACATTATGAAATTATGATTGTTCATATGATTTTTTTTTCTTACAAGAAGGAATATATAACATGAATGTTAATTTTACCTTTGAGGTGTAGGTTGAGCGACCCATCCAATTGAATACGGAGTTACATAATGGAAGAGGCTGCCGCCATCAGTTCTTCTGACTCGTTAAAAAGGTACTCCCTCCGCCCCTAAAATTTTTCCCCATAGTACAAATGACATGGTGATTAAGATAGTGAGTATTGTATGGTGGAGAGTTGTACATAGAAGGGAAAAATGTGTAAGAATTGTTGTGAGTCATAAATTATTTTGGAACGTCCAAAAAGAAAAGTTGGAAGTATTTTTATGAACAAAGGGAGTACAAGACTACAAGCTAGCTAGCGCGCATCATCATCTTCAATCCATTACTCGTACGAATTGAGCAGTATTCACTATTACCTACATCCCATTAACATTGGAAAAAATGATACAATCTTAATGAAATTTCCCAAAATGTAAAATGTGATAATCTTCGTGGGACGAAACGATTCCATTTATTACCCCCCTTTTCGTTTAAGCCTTATCAGCTAGCTTTTATTTATATACTAGTATTCTACCTGTGCGATGCATGAGAGAATAAAATTTGTAAATTAAGGATAAATTTATTGATATAAACCTATTTCATATAAAGACACAATTTTGTCAAATGTATCGTGTGCATGAAATGTTTTACACTTTTTATGGCCTTAAGGTTCTTAGGGTCTCAAAGGTCTAAAAATACCATGACAATATTCTTACGCTTTCTGTGGCCTTAAATTTCTTAGTCCTAGTGTCTCATCTTAATATTACAATTTTTTTATATACTTAATCCATATGAATATAGAAATATTATCGTGTAAGGAAGCTAAGTGACGACTTGAGATGAAGATACAGTAATATCGCACCTAAAACATAAAACGTGTAATTAACCACACATTGCATAGTAGGTTTTATTTTCAATATATAAGGGAAAATGTGGTCATTCAAAATAATTTGCAACATTGTATATGATATTTTAAATTAGGGGAAATGTGCAAATATACCCCTGAAATATATGTGGAGCTGCAAATATATCCTTAAACATAAAAAAGGTGCAAAAGTACCCCAAATATTCCTATAAAAAAGTAAGTTTACCCTTGCTAACTTTCAATAAATAAAATAAATTTTTAAATAAGCAAAAATAAATTATAAATTTAAATTTTGAAATTGAACAATAAAAAAATTTAGATAGTTAAAAATAAAGATTTGTTTTTATGTTAAAATATTAACTCTTTAATTTTGAATTGAAAAATTATTATACTTCCCTTATAAATGAAGCACTTCAAATTCATAAATATTAATTATAGTCTAGTTACGAAATTTTGAACACACCGTTACATTTTTTGAAATAACATTCATACAAAATTCACTATGTGGTCAAACTTAATCAAATAATATTCACTATTTTGTAATATTGGATTATTTATCATCATACAAAATATTAACTTATAATTATAATTATAATTATAATTATAATTATAGTGATAATTATGATTATAGTTATAGCTAATTACAATAAAAGGAAAATTTGAGTTTTCACTCTATGTTTTGGCTGATATTTGACTTTGTATCCCATTTTTAAAACTATTAATGTGTGTACCCCATTAGCCCAAAAATTGTGAAGGAGTGGGGTGCAAAGTGAAATGATTTTATAGTGAATTTGAGTGCATACATTATTGATTTTGAAAATAGAGTCCAAAGTCAAATATCAGTCAAATATTACCGAAAATATAGGGTGCAAAGTCAAATTCTCTCTAACAATAATAATAATAATAGTAATAATTTAATAATAATAAACACTCAATCAAATTAGGAACATTCAGATCAGATCATATTAGAAGGATTCAGATCGGAATAAAAGGATTAAGATTAGATAAGAAAATTCGGATCAAATCCAGATTAGATGAGAACAGAAAAATCCAGATCAGGTTAGATCAGATTTTAAAATATTCATACCCGTTCATACCAAATGAACGGAACATCTTCTAAGACTTCCATACTTTGTTGTGCTTTAATGATTTACGGTGTTAAGTAAGAGTAATTAGAAAATAGTATTTATACTTTAGTGTATTTAGGAGATTGTTGCTTTTTTATATTTTTGAACGAAATGGTAATTTTCTTGTGCTTCAATGTTTTAGGGTGTTAAGTAAGAGCAATTAGAAAATAGTAATGATAGTTTAGCGTATTTAGGAGATTGTTACTTTTTTATATATATTTGTACGAAATGGCAGTTGTCATTTAAGATACTTAATCTATTCCTAGTTTTTTTCTACACTCAAATATCATTTGTAGTGGTGGGCATGTCAAAATGTTAAAAAAGACTCGTCTATATGACAACAATATTTAGATTTCTATTTTCCTACATTCCAGCATCGTCAATGAAGTACATTTATCGTATTCTTTTACATACCAATTTAGTAAAACTTTAATTAAATTATTATAAGTAATTTTTGCCTTTTATTTTTTGCATGAATAATAATGAAATTAGAAAAAGCATTTCGATGTAAAAATAAATATATTTCATTAAATTTTTAAAGCTTTTTCGCCTAACAAAAAAAGAACTTACTTCAAGTAAAGTTCGTTTATGAAATAGAGTTTTTCCCCGAATTAATGTTCATTAAACAAATTATTGAAAATAGGGTTGAGTTAACAATAATTTTCAAAATAAGGTGATCCCTGGTTAAAAGAAAGCCCTCACTTGAAGTGGCGATGTATACATGCCATAAATCATAGTAGCCTTGCCATTGTCAAACTCAAAGGTGGGTCCCAAAGATTTACAAAAATCTTTAATCTGCAATAACTTTTTTATTTTATCTCCAATTTGTATAAAAAGTATATCAAAATTCGTAACTCTTTATGACCTTTCACATGACACCAATATTGTATATATAATTGCAAGAAAATCTAAAGACCATATGGTGTCCAATTGAGATATCAAAATTCAAACTTCTATCTCCAATCGAAATTTCTTGCTCCTCAGACCACATTTAGGCTGAAAATATATATAGAGTCCTGATCCTGTCCAGACGTCCGGACAGGAGCCGCCGTCCGGCCGGCGGCGTTTGGCCGCCTTCCCGGTGGAATTTTTTGATGAAATTTTTATGGCATGTTCTCCATCGAGTCTAGTTTATCCACAAAAAAATTCAGCCAAAAATTCAATCGGGAAGGTCGTCAAATGATTTTTGCAAGTTAACTGGTCCGGAAAATACATATTCCGGACCAGTTAACTTGCAAAAATCATTTGATGACCTTCCCGATTGAGTTTTTGGCTGAATTTTTTTGTGGATAAACTAGACTTGATGGAGAACATGCCATAAAAATTTCATCAAAAAATTCCACCGGGAAGGCGGCCAAACGCCGCCGGCCGGACGGCGGTTCCTGTCCGGACGTCTGGACAGGATCATTTGTGAATATATATATATATATATATATATATATATATATATATATATATATATATATATATATATATATATATATATATATATCAAAACTCATAATACCTCCATCCGAAATTGATTTGCAAAATTGACTTTTCTTGATCACAGAGTTCCATTTTATTCACTTAATTAGGATGTCAATTTTTAATTATATTATAATTTGGAGTTTACAACTTTGAAAAGATTTTAATGTAATTTCTGAATATGTAAATTTTATTCTAAATATTTGAATTAATCATCAATATGGAAGATTTAACTTTAACATTAGTTGACAAAAAAATGTTAACTTTGCAAATCAAATTGGGACGGAGGGAGTAACTTTTTATTATCTCTCATGTAAAACTAACGTTGCATATATAATTTAAAAAAATTGAAGTTCTATCTTCCTCACCAGTATTGGGTTAGGATTTCTCAAAAGATTATGTAGTCACTGTAAATTTTGAATATAGTTATAGTAATTAAAAGGAACGTACTAATCGTAAAATAATATCAGTTTTTTGTGTTAGTATGATCACATTTAGAGACTAATTCATTCTAATATAATTTACGTAGTATTAAATGAGAAAAAATCATACATAGTTAAAATAAAATTATGCTTTGAAATGGAACTTTCAAGCTTAAAAGATACGGAGTAAATTTTAAAAAATTTTAAACTCTAATAATAAGTTACAGAGTACTACTTTTTTTTTGAAAGAAACGGAGTACTACTTATACACTATTAAGTTAAGTTACACTTCGTACAGAATAATAATAATTATTATTATTTTTTAACTCGGAAGACAAACCACCAAAATCAATGGTGCAAATGCCGGGGAACATTTGCCATGTTTTATTAAAAAAAGAAGGAGATACAGGTGAAGAGGGGGACCGAACCAAAACATCTTCTGAAAGAGCATTCCCTTCCGAAGTACTCGCTAACAAAAAGTAAAAGACAACTAAAGAATAGATAAAATTAAAAACAAAAATAAACAAGACCACATTTATCTGCCCAAAAGGATTTTTTAAAGTTAATATCCAAATTTTTAAGAGAATAAAAAACCTCCAACTTTTTAGCACCAGTTTTGCATAAAAATGTGCACGCCAATTTACTTCTCTAAAAATATGTCGGAAATGTATATCAAAGTTGGCTGACCATCCTCTTAACTCCTTTACCAAACCTCTCCATCTCCCTGCCAGAGCATCGTCCTCAATAGTCTTCAGAACAGATAGGGAGTCAGATTCAACCTCAATCCCTCTATATCCACGGCCGACCCGTCCACTCGACCGCCTTATATAAGCAGCAATATATTACATTGATTATAATTGTGACTTAACTTTCTAAATATGTATGAACATTAATTAATAATCCAAATATGAAATGTAACATATATAATTTACCTATCTTTCCAAACATATGAAGAATAATACGTAGTAGTTAATATAAGCATGTGTGTATATGAAAGCGACATGTGGCTAAGAGCAGCTAAAAGAGTGACACATGACAATAGTGCATAATAGAATCACATGGGTCAATGTGACCTCCAATTGTATAGATATAGATATAAATATAGATATAGATACGCAGTATGCTATTATTATTATAGTCATTACATTATTATAAGCCTTAATTAATTTCATACGCAGTATGTAGTACTTCGTATATGACTCAAAATTATAGTTGGTACGTCCGTGGGTGCAGGTATGCAGTTGTGACAGGAGGAAACAAAGGGATAGGGTTGGAAATATGCAGGCAATTAGCTAGTGATGGGGTTATGGTGGTTTTGACCGCCAGAAGTGAAAAAAGAGGAATTGAAGCCGTGGAGAAACTGAGATCATGTTATGGTTTGCATGATTCCGTGGTGTTCCATCAGCTCGATGTTGTCCATCCATCCTCTATTTCTTCACTCCTCCAATTCGTCAAAATCAACTTTGGCAAGCTTGACATTTTGGTAAGCTAGTTGAATTATATTGAGAAATTATATTGAATTAAATTTTGAAATTCCAAAATATGACTGTCATTTTTCTTTCTGAAATAAGAGTAGTTATTGACATGACTGAAAAATATATATATTTTTATCCTAATGACAGAAAATAATGTCATATTAATGTCTAATCCTGCAACAATTAATTTGACAGTGATGACCCCAAGATGACAATAAATAGCGTTATATTACTTTTATTTTAAGAACAAAACATAACAGTCATATTTTTGGAATTTCAAAACATTTTTTTCTCCTATTTCGGGGAACTTTCACCATTAGATTTCCTCAATCGTCATAAACGAGCCTTATTCTGGCATGACTAATATTTAATGCATTAAGTCAAACTTATAATTAGTTGACTTTTCAGTTAATGATGCAATTTTTTTTCTTTTTTAATTAGTACATTCATTTGTTATTGCTCAGGTAAATAATGCAGGAGTTCTTGGAGTTGTTGCGGATGAAAATGCTATAAAGGCTTCAGCGGTAGGTTCTAATAGCTAGATAGATATATGATATATCAATTATTATTTTACTTCTTTTTAACTCTATAAGTCTCATTTGTTATTATTCAGGAATTACGTGATTAATTTTGTTAAGGGTATTCGGATGAAATAATTACATTAATATGACCAAAATAAAGATGATTTACAAAAATATGATTAGTTACTAGAGTAGTAATGAAATCATAGTAATTCATGTTCAAGTTCTGAACTTAAGTTACTACAACACTACGTTGTAGTAATGAATAGTCATATTTATGTAAATAAGTTTTATTTTAGTAATATTGTTGTAAAAACCCCCATTCGGATCTAGGGCTAAAAATTAAAGTACTTGTGAGGAATTGAAACAAACCCACGCCTTACCGGAATCGAACGGTTGAAAACCAAACCAATCAAATTAAAACTAATTAATAAATCCATTATTTTATATACGAAGTACCTATTTAATATCTTTACAGGTACACTTGGTTGATGTGTGAGACTAACGAATAGAACTATAGAGAAATGTTGATTGGACTATAGAGAAAATTTTCTAAATAGAACTAATTAAAATAAGGATAAAGTTTATAAATAAGATTATTATTTTTTTATTTCTAATAAAATAGGATTCGATCATTTTTATTTTTGATTAGTTTTAATCAACTTATTCTTTTAATTGGACTAAATAAGTCACATTTGAGGAATAAATCATATTTAATCCTATTTTTAACTTTGTATACTCCCTCCGTTCTTTAATATAAGTCCTCTTAGGCTTTGGCACGGGTTTTAAGAGGAAAATAGTAGGGGTGGTGTAAAAGGTGTAATGAGTAGTGGATAAATGAAAAAGTAGGAAAGAGAAAGGGGTAATGGTAATAAAAGTGGGGTATAAACGTATATTTAGAGTAAAAAGTTTCCTTAAATGGAAAGGAGGACAGATAAAAAAAACGTCCCAAAAAGGAAAGAATGACTTTTATTAAAGAACGGAGGGAGTATATTTTAGTCTTATAATGAGGAATTTCTAATGTATTATATATACTTGTTGGTGATGAATATTAAGGCTCGCATTTTAAAATGATGAGTTAATGAAGTTCTATCACATCGATGTTTTCACTTTTTGCCTCACAATTGTCTTGTGTATATTATTTTACTATTGTCTGGATCTCATTTGGTATGTTTAATTCAAGTTTTGTTTGCAACTGAAAGTAGTTAAAACAACTTATAATAGAAGAAGTAGGCCAATATTTTATACTCCCTCCGTATCAAATTAATTGACACGTTTGCTTTTCACGCAGTTTAAGACAATTACTGTAGTCTTTATTAAAAGTAAGAGGTTTTTGGTACTGTAGCGACACTGTAGCGGTACTGTAGCAGTACTGTAGCTGCTTTTTGAGTGAGATTCTTTCCAAAAAGGGAAACGGGTCAATTAAATTAATACACCAAAAAAGGAAAGTGGGTCAAGTAATTTGATACGGAGGGAGTACTTAATATGTTACTCTGTATTTTTAAAGTGTGGGATATCCATGTAGTTAGTACGGGTGCATGGGTGGAGCTAGAGGGGGGCAGGCTAAGCCCAGCCTCACCCCAAATATAAAAAATGCCTTGATTTTTGAGGTAAAATATTCTGTGTAATTTTTTTAATAAAAATATTCTTTACATCGGCCTAGTCCAAGCTCCACCCCATAGGGGTGAATGTGGCGATCTTTAGCTAGTTTGTGATGCGTACGTACGATCTTCAATATAATTCGATATGCTACTGAACATGCATTATATTATATTGTATGTATGGATAATGCTTATATATATATATATATATATATATATATATATATATATATATATATATATATATATATATATATATATATATTTATATATGCAGGGTGGTAAAATAAATTGGAAGGGTATACTTACTCAGAATTATGAGTTGACTGAAGAATGCTTGGAGATAAATTACAATGGCACAAAGAAAATGGTGGAAGCATTTCTTCCTCTCCTCCAACTGTCTAAGTCTCCCAGAATTGTAAATCTCACCTCGGGTTGGGCAAAATTGGAGGTAGTTATTATATAATATCATTCCATCTATTTCTTTTTAGTTAGTAATTTTTGATTTTTCAAATCAATAGTAGTACTAAGCGTTGTGTTAAGACGTGAGCTTTCATCCTAAAATGTCAACCTGACAGAAGGAGTAGCTCATATATAACACTTTGTTCATCCAAATGTTTCCGGTGTGAGACATTTAACACCCCCCCTCACGACCTGACACTTCGTCTGGATCGTGCAATCATTCATTTTTTTTCATCAGTCCGTTTTTTTTCATCCGGACGTTTTTTATAATCATGTCATCATTTTTCATTAGGGGCCCACACCATGGATCGATTTGGTTCTGATACCATGTTAAGACCTGAGGTTCCATCCTTAGCTAAAAGGTCAACCTGATAGGAGTAGCCCATATGTGTTAATATAGCACTTTGTTCATCCAAATGTTTCCGTGTGGGACATTTTGTTTTTTGATCGTAAGGCGCTTATATCATTAAAATAGCAATCAGCAGGAGTACAAAAACATGAAAGGACCGCATGTAGCCATCCGCCCATGACCGAGACTCTGAGTTAATCACCTTAATCAAAGCAATATAACTCGCTAGACCGAAATTGGGCAAATTAAAGCTAACGACGCCAACCACAGACCCTGGAAACCTAAAACACGAGTTTCACAGATAACAGGAAAATAGAAACAAAACACAAAGGAAAAACCGTGGAAATAAAACCTAAAACATAGAATGAAATAAACTCCATCACTCGGAGTCATAATCCAAAATATCCCCTGCATTACTGGCGGGTCTAGGAGGTCTGACCCGCCACCTCCCCATTTTTTAGTCCATCAAGCGCCATGCCTTCGTCACATGTAGCCTCTTCAAGCTTGTCCTCCCACAGTCTCCTACGCTTAGGCTCTCCTGGTTCCCCTTCCACATCACCCGCTGCTTGCACTGATGCACTAGCCCCTGTCCCAGTCGACTGCGTCTCCTCGAGTTCATGCTTCCTCTGTTGCCCAGCTTCCTTGGATCTCACATGGTCTTGTACAAGCCACTTATTAGGACCTGCTAGGTTAGTTTTTGCTCCTCCCCGTTCCCTAAGCTCAACTCCAAAAGATTTTTCAATAATAATTCCTTCCTCATAACGTAACAAGCAAAACTTGTCCGAATGTCCAATCACCCCACATATGAAACAGAAATTAGGTAGCTTCTCATACTTGAAATCAACCCAATGTCCCGTTCCTTCTTTTTTCAGAGAAGTGCCCTTTTTCAGAGGTTTTCTAACATCCATACGGACTCTGATTCTCAGAAAAGATTTTTTTCTGTCTCCATAACTTCTTTCATCAAACTTTATAAAAGAGCCAACAAAATTCCCAATTCGCTTAGCAGAATTTAGATTCCTAAATTTTTGGGGAACATTATGCACTTGAACCCAAAAATCTGCTTCAAATAAAACTAGTTTTTCAGGGATATCACGTGGCTGAACTGTTTTTAACAATACTAAGGGGCTGTTTATTTTTTTTTCATTAAGTTCTGAATGGATTAAGATGTCTGTCTGCATTAAGTTGTCTGTCTGGATTAAGTGACAGTGGGATAACAAACTGTTTACTAAGTGTGCTGAATGAGAAGTCTGAATCACGTTAAATGACCAAAGAACCCTTCTATCTGGAACAAGTGCTGAATGTATATTGTCTATTTACTTGCTCTGTTCTAAAACATAATTCCAGATGCCCAAGAATAATAATGTTACGAATTATTAAAATAAAATAAAAATCGCATTACATGACAAGAAAAAGTCATTTGTCTTAAAAAGAGAACAACACTTTAAATTTAAATGTTTCCTACTAGTCTATTAGCGATTTCATTCCGCAAATTCGTCATATACTGTAAACTTTGTGTGCCCCATTGTGCTGCGTGCACTTCTTCTCCAACATCCTCAGGTTCCTCTTGTGCTTCATTGTTGGTTATAGTGTCATCTTCCCATTCTTTGAAAAAGTCATCATCAATGTTGGATTTTCTAATAAAATTATGAACCGCAAAACAAGCAATGACCACATTCCTTTGTATCGCAAATGGATAAGGAGCCATCTGATCTAAGATTGGGAACCGTGCTTTCAAGACACCATACGTACGTTCAATCACATTCCGGAGTTGTGCATGCGCATGATTGAATCTTTCTTCTTTAGTCAATGCACGACGACGTCGATAATCTGCTAACCAATACCTTGTGTTACGATATGGAGCTAAAAATCCACGAGTGTTTGCATATGCAGCATCACATAGATAATATTTATCTGTAACAAATTCCATTGTTAACTTTTTTTAATTTTAATTAAATTCATTTAGTGAAAGAATAAATAATAATGATACGCACCTTGTGGAGGAAGTGGAAAGCCGGAATTAGGATTAAATACAACTTGCGTTAGTACTCGAGAATCATGTGCTATTCCTTCCCAACCAGCCCAAACAAAAGTGAATATCATATTGAAATCACAAATTCCTAAAACGTTTTGATAACACCGACCCCCTCCTCTTCCTCTATAAATAGTTTGCTTTTCAGCGGGCACAATTGCGTGTACAAGAGTTCCATCTAGTGCTCCAATCGCTCCCTTCATAACACAATGAAAATATGTAATACATCATTTTTGAAATATAACAATGAATCAAATGTAAAATGAGAACATACCGGAAAAACCTCTCTCAAACGTTTTTGCCGGTTTGACAAATTTAGGACTGAATCAGGTGTTGTTGGTACTATCATTTCTTTTGCAAATTCCATCATTCCTTGTAGAACTTCATGAAAACATTTGTGAACAGTTCGTGTAGAGTGTTGAAATCTCCTTTTATTCACTCTAAACCTCTGATTATTTCCGATGGTTGTCAGAAATATAGCCATCTTTTCCTCAACACTTATATGCTTACTATCACTCAACCAATTTCTTTGTCTAAAATGGTTGCATAATAGTACATATCCGGCATGAGAGACACGCATTAATTCCACACATTGTGTATTAGAACCATCTAGTAACTCCTGTGTGTAAGCATGTCCAGTTAATGCAGAAGTGTTATCTCTTATTCTTGGCATTCTTAGAGCAGAATTTCTTCGCCTCACATAATAATACACAAGCATTAGGATTAGAAGTTGCGCCTCAAGATCCATATTAACCTTGCAAAAAACGTACAAATTAGATATTTATAAATAAACATTCCATTCTTAGATGTCACAAAATATTGCAAGTGTCATAAAAACATACAATAGTCATCCCATGAAAATACAAACTAGAGTCATAATTAATTTAAAAAAACAAGAGTCATAAATACCAAATGTAGTCCTAAATACGTTCAAACAAACGCATGAGAAACTAACAACCTACATAAATCCTAATTTTTTCCCAATCATTTTGACCCAATTTGGAAGGAGTGCTGCATCAATTTTCATCCATGCTTCGCGATAAAGATCATTTGGATCACAAAAGATTGCGAGGGCAACTCCATACAGTGGGTCATCTCCTTCCCATCCAATCATTTTTAGTTTGTTCATGCAATCATCAAAAGTTGGTGGTTCAGGGTTCGAAGGTGCTTCGGGCTTCGCATGTTTTGAAGCAACTAAGCGAATCACATTCAAAAATTCTTCATCAATGGCTGAATTTCCTTGTTTGCCCTTAGTTTTGAGCTTTTTTGATTGCTTATGGCTTGAACATTGACCTGCCGATGTAGACATAGCTTGTGCACCTTGAAACTCCACTTCTTCTTCAACCACAATTGGACCATCAGATGAAATAGGTCCATGTGGCATAGGTTCGACTGAAGTTGGTCCCCAACTCTCGATGCCCGTTGCAACAGACCCATCAAATAGTTGTGCACAAAGTTCAGGGAATGGAAGTGATGCAGTCCTCAAAGTTTCAATGTACTTATTTTTCTGTGTTAAAAAAATATGTAAAGTATGGCCGTATAGGAAAGAAATTAACAACAAAATAAATAGAGGTGTCCATTAGGCAAAAATTACCTTAATTTCAATCTCCCATTCCTCGGGCGTAAGATTAAATGTGTTGGTGGACGGATCATACACATTGCTAGTTTTATTTTTGAGGAGTAACCAGGCTCCATATTTTCCTTTAAGATAATCGTAATGATTTTTCATTTGCCTTCGATCAACAGAAAACTTATGAGTCCCATTCAAAACGTCAGCAACTTTCTTCCAAGAAAGAGCTTTCAGACTACTACCTTCCCGCCCGTTTACGGAAATCTCATGGATACAGGTCTCAAGAAAGGTTTTCACCACGTTCATATTTTTCCAACTTATCCTACATTTTTTTTGCTTTTCTGATTCACCGGCGTGTTCCATACCTAAAGAATGAAATAAGTGTGTCCCAATAATTCATAGAGTGCTAATAGATGGTTAACTTTATCTGATAAACAAGTGCAAAAAAATCAGCCTACTTATTTAAGAAAAAACAGCAGCTCAAAAGGGGTAAAGACCCCAAACAATAAACACTGGAATACTAAATTTACTAAATGTCATGGGTTGAAAATCTATAATCACTAGGTCAACATAAGTTCATTGATGTAATAAATAATTTATAAGAGATAAAAAAAATTAACTATTTAAAGATTAATGGACTGGACCTCATCCCTCTTAGCTTGAAAATAATCAAAATATGAGCCATTTAGAGGTTTAGAAACAAACCAAAAACATTGGGAATTAGTTAACCGAATTACCTTTTAGAAATGTTATTTGCACTTCAAGAATAATTTACAAAGTTGAAGGACACCTAATAACCCAGACAAGTACTATACAGACTTATAAAACAAACAACCTTTTTAAAAAAGTTCAACCCACACAGGTAGAGACTTAGCAAAATATCAACCCTTTTATTGTTTTTTTTAACTTAGAAAAAGTTCTTGATACATCATGTTTATTGTTTAGTGAATATAAAAACCCCCCATCAATGAAACTCCTTAGCTGATAAAAGTTTGGAAAAAATGTTATTACATCTGAAGACACAACGTCTAGCTTGTAGCTATAGTACTCCCTAGATATCCCCATTGCAGAGAAACGAATTGAATAAAAAATAAACCTCATGCTTGGGATGGTTAGGCAGGCTATTTCCCATTTAAATCTCCGCTCTAAAGTTTATTCAGTGATTGGAGACTTTTCTTTTAAAAAATAGAAACAAAATATGACTAGCAATGTGTACACAGAGATAACAAAAATTATACAATAGAGCAATCAACAGATGAACTTCTAAAGATATCCCATTGAGAGACCTTTCTCTACTCCAAAATCTAAGGTAGTTGACTGTGCGCCTCAGTTAAATATCAAATTACATGGCATTCTCAAATTCCTGATGAAATATCAGTTAAACCAACAAAAAATTGATTTTTTTTTAAAATACAAGTATGATTCAAGATTTAATACAGTTGTTGTACCTTACCAAAAAAATAGAGTTTGAGTTATAAATCCCTAATATCAAACCATCCAACATGAAACATGAAATTTAACAATACGACATATGTAAATTAAATTACATAAGATTGACCTAAATACAAAAATGTAGTGAGTTTACTCCAAAAATTCGAAACTTCACTATAGGTAGAGAAAGGTATGATAGAGAACAAGGAAGAACTCTTATTAGGAGAAATTGAAAACAAAACAGAGAGAAAATACTAGAGAAAAATTAAAGGAAATACCGATATGGAGAAGGTGAGGGATGAGAGCCAGAGATGGAGATGAAACGTGCACGTTGCTGCGACCGGCGATGGACTGTGCGCACGGATCTTCACTTGGCGGCCGTAGTGGTGAGCGAACAACAAGCGAAGGGAATGAGGGTTAAAACAGAGAGAAGCGATACATACGAAGGTCTGAACCGTAAGGAGTGTTGAATTTGCGCTGAACGATTAAGTTAAAATTGGTCTGAGCGAATAAGTGATGTTTTAAAATAAGTCCTAAGTAAACAAGAGTATATGGCTGACCGAATAAGTCATTGTTCCCATTCAGACCATTAAGTCGAAAGTAAACGGCCCCTAAATCTCTTTCAAACACCCAAGGTCCATCTTCCAGTGCACGATTCATATCCAAAACATGATTAAAAGTAAAGAGACACCTTTTTTCATCAATTTCCTTGATGGATACCCTCTTACCAGGACGCCAAGCTGAAGTCATCGCATCCTGAAGCGCCTGCAAATTAACCCTCCGATCGGAGATCACCGTTCCGACCACCGGAAAGCCAATCTGTTCATCGGTCCCTTCCTCATCACCGACTTCTTCCGTATCAAAATCGAGTCTGTTATCTACCTCCCCAATAGCCATCCTCTTGTAGTTGTTAACTATTTCTTCCATCTGCAAGCCTTTGTAAACCCTCTACCCGTCACTTTATCCCAACCGAGAAAACGAACCAAACAAGCTGAACACCCCTTCGATCAACTCGAACGAACCGAGCAGACGAAGGAAAAGAAACAAGAGTAAAACCGAACTTCGATCAGTTTGATCGAATTCGGAAATCTATCCAGCAGCGCTATTGCAGCCCTAGGAGAAAGGAATTGTTTATATTCCGGTGTGGGACATTTAACACGTTGACTGATAATATGTTTATGTATGAAAGTATTATTTAAATGTAGATCGATTAATTTAAAATTCATAATAGTTAAAATGGTTGATCAAAGGTTACCATTATGGACTAAGAAAACTCGAAAGATGTGTAACTAAAAAGGGATGAGATTAGTATATACTCCCTCCGTCCCAATATAAAAGGCACATTTGCGTTTTACAACATTTTAAGGAGAAACACTGTTTGGCACTGTTTAGACATTGTTTGGTACTGTTTGGACACTGTTTTGCACTGTTTTGTTTGCCAAAAGGGTAAATGTGCCTTTTATATTGGGACGGCCCAAAAAGGAAAGTGTGCCTTTTATATTGGGACGGAGGGAGTATATCTCAATCTGGACACTTTTTAATTTATTACTCTGTATTACATGTATAGAATATAAATAAATATTAGAGAAAAAGTATGACTAAAGCATTTATCGATTCCTAACATATGACTAGCATATATGTGGATGATAATAATAATTGAATTCAGAAGAGAAAAAGTAAGATCAGAACACATATAAAATGCCTTTAATTTAGGGAGAAAAACTATGAAATAACCAAATTTTAAAAATCGCCACCTCTTTTGGTCTTACTCGATCCTAGTATTTTTCTATAAATATATGGATATATGATGTGCAGAATATTGGCAATGAAAGGGCGAAAAGAGTTTTGAGCAATGTTGAAGGTGAGGTAGCGGAGGTGGATGAAGTGGTGAGTGAGTACCTAGAGGACTTGAGAAAGGTGGGGGCGGCGGCGATGCAAGAAAAGGGGTGGCCTTCTATCATGTCTGCGTATGCCGTCTCCAAAGCAGCCATGAATGCATATTCAAGGATCATAGCGCACAAGTTCCCTTCCTGTCAGGTCAACTGCGTCTGCCCCGGCTACGTCAAGACGGACATTACCTACCACACTGGGGACTTCACCGCTGAAGAAGGTGCCTCCGCTGTTGTGCGGGTGGCTCTGCAGCCGGAAGATGGACCTTCTGGCGTTTTCTTTGACCGGCAAGAGATTATTTCATTTTAATAATAATAATAATAGGAGTAATAATAATCATGTAATGCTGATGAGAATGATGACGATATACCAACAACAACAACAATAATAATAATAATAATAATAATAATAATAATAATAATAATAATAAATCAGATTTTTTTACTTTAATCCGACTTAATAACAATAATACGTTATTAATAATATCATAGATGCACTACTACTTATGCAATCCTGAAGAAGCACTACTAGAAAAACATTTGCGTACTACCGTTACGTACTGTTACATTTGGTTTCATCTATTGTAATGGTTATATATCATTTGGTTCATTTGCGTAACTACGGTTACATACTGTTACATTTAGTATGATTCTAATGTAACACTATTTTTTTTTCAACAAACGGAATGGGCGTTTTTATTAAATTGGTGTCTCAAATAAAACGTTTACAATGAATGGTTGAGTAAGAAATAAGCTAAAGTAAAAGATATCATAACAAAATGGGCACTTCACGTAGGACCCAAATTAATGGTCAAGTAGGTCTATTTTGGCGTTGGAATTAAATTGGCACATAGACTGGATGAGTCCAAAGCTTTGTTGGCCAGAGAATAAATTACACTACAAGAAAAACAATTTTAACTACGAAAATTAGGGACAGGTGAAAAATCCCCTCATTATTGCCACTATTTTTAGAGCTTTTATGAGGGGGAAATACTCTAACTAAAATGTCTAATGAATTTCTATTTTTATAAGTAATGTTTCAAATTTTCAATGGTATTGTCATTATTGATAGGTTCAACTTTTAAAACTGTCATTATTTGTACTTTGGCAACCTGCCTATTTTTCAAGGAGCGGCAAAGAGAAAAATCCTCCCGCTAAACAACCAAAACTGCGGTATATTTGCTAAAAACCCTATCTCCCGCTACAACATTCTTCTCTCTGACCGACCACAGCCAGCAGTGATGGCAACGGGGCGGATCGGGGGACGGGTACACATAAAACCGAAACAGTCCCGTTGGATAAATGTTTGCCCCAAAACCGCCTCATTACCCGTTCGGGTAATTTTTATTTGAACCGTACCCGCCCCAATGGGGAATCGATTTATCCACGGGTAACCGTTTCCCCAAATGATACCAAATAATCATTTTTTTTAAAACAAATAACCAATTTCTAATCTTACTTGTTATTTATATATTCAAAGCACCCTAAAACATACAAAAATAAATATTTAAGCAATCAAGCAGACTGACCTAAATTCATTAGTATGACATGCACCTAATATCTCTTGTAATATAATAAAAAAGTAGTAATCATCCTAGAATCCAAATTCCAAAAACAGGTTTAGGCATATATTTAGTTTTAGGCCTAAAAAAGTAGTATACTTTTTAGCATTATTTATATGATATATATTGTTCTATTTAGTATACACAATTTAGCATATATACTTATTATTTTTATATATAAAAAGTAATAATTCATTAATAATGTTACGGATCGGGTAACGGTGCGGGTACCCGCACCATTAGTGAACGAGGCGGTTTCGGGGCAGATAACGGGGCGGATTAGTATAGAATCATAACCGCACCATTAACCATTTAAAAAATTCGGGTATTACCCGCCCTTTACCCATTCCCCAGTCAAACCTATTTTGCCCAGTTTCACCAAATCTGTTTAGTGCTGGTATCCAACTGTTAGGCCCGAAATTGCCATCTCTAACGGCCAGCACTTCGTCTTCTTTATTCTCCTCTCGTGCTCTTTCACACATCTCTTCAGCCTCAGTCTTCATTGTTTTCTCATCTGCCCTTGCCCCATCAGCCTTCATCGTTTTCTCTAATCATCGCCGACCGCCGCAATCCATCGGCCTTCATCGTCTTTTCCAACCATCGCCGACAGCCGCGCAAACCACCAGACTTCATCGCCTTCTAACTCTCGCCGACAGCCTCAAACCACCGCCCGTCATTGTCTTCTCCCACCATCGCTGACGGTAAGCAACGACCTTCATCGTATTTTTTATTCTAACCATCTTTGTTGTTAGAATCCGGATTCACTCAATTAGTTCTACGATTCACAGGTTTCTCGACTCCTTGAATTCGCTGGTTCTCAGATTCTTCTTGGACTGACCACTTAATTGAGGTTTCACATCCCTAGCTTTGTTTTTTATATCATTTTTTACACTTCTGTTATGCATTAGCTATTTCTTTTTTTGAATTTGATATAGGTTTTAATATTGCAAGTGACTTGAATTGCGCTCTTTCTCATACTTGTCATTGTTTGGGAGCTACAACATTGGGTAAATCGTTTTAATGGATGCTACTATTTACTAGTTATGCACTTTCAAGAAAGGGAACTAAATTATTATGATTTCAATAGGATAGCTATGTTTTTGGATATTGAAATTATGAAATGAGTTTGTTTATATCTATTTTGATGGTATCATTGTGTCTGATTACTTTCAAATTTAGAATGCTAAACATGAAGGTGTTCCATGTATAGATGTTTATTTGGAAAAGAATAAGAAGCCCAACCTTTAGGCCTTGAGATGCCAGAAGCTAAGACATCTAGGAGGAAGTTTGATAGGAACCCACTTATTAGACTAATAATAGAAGTAATAATAATAATAGTATTAGTAATAAGGGTATGAGTATTGATGGAGTATATGGCCCAGCACCCCCCGGCCCATAGACTCCTACTTCTCCTACACAAGTCCGTTGAGCCCAGAGAACAACTCAGGCCCAAATGCAGCGGCCCAAGCCTCGAAGTAGCTCAGAATGCACACTGGGATGCCTTCGGCCTCCTTGGCCGAGGGCTCCAAAACTCACAGGATAGCCTTCTCTGGCATAAGAAGCTGCTGGGAGAAAACAGGCGAAGACATGAGGCTTCGGCATTCCCATGCCCTCGGCACCAGGGGAAGCCTTCGGCTGAACCAAGCCTTCGGCTACACAAGGAGCCCTCGGCTGCACAAGGGGCCCTCGGCTGCACAAGGAGCCCTCGGCTACACAGAGAGCCTTCGGCTGAACAGGCTCAATCATCAAAGATTCCTTTTAGAGACAGCCAACCACCGCATTTAATGCCATGTCACATCCGCCAACCGCATTCAATGCGGTTGACGTACCACTGCCGGTGCCACCAGGCTGGTGTGACCCTTCGGCCGTTGGATTGCTGACACGTGTACTCTCATCGCATTTATTGCTGCTATAAATAGCAGCCCATTTCTCCTTGTAATGGACACAATCTACATCCCAACTCCACATCTCGAGTTCATTTAATAAAATCGACTCTCTCTCCTCCTATTTTGCTCTGACTTCTCTCTAGTTATTCCCGCAATAACCCCTCGGATAAGATACCCCCCGGGTAGATTGTCCATCATTTGGTGCTCTCGTTGAGAGGTCAGAACAATCAAGTAAGAAACCCTCCCCCTCTACCAAATACAAAACACTTACCGAAAAATGGGAAGAACCACCCGTGCCCAATCCAAGACCCTTGAGGAAAACTACGTAGCCCCCGGCGAAACTAACGGGGCTGAGGCCTCCAACAGGCTCTTAGTACCCGAGGGCGGTGTCATCCTCGAATTAGAGCAAGCCACCGCTGACCTACGCCAACAGCTGCAGAAGAACACCCCTGATGCCCGCATCGGCCTTGATAATCGAAGGAGGGATCGGAGTGAGAACCAAGTTCCCCCTCCGGCCCCGGCCATCGATCTTCAGGCTGCCTTTGCGGCCTTTGTTCAGAACATGGCTCTCAATTCCGGAGCCCTCGCCTCTCAGGCACCCCTCCAGCCCTACGCTGGAGGGAATGTTATTCAATTACCACCGCTCCCCCCTCTGTTCAACAATCCTCCCCCGGGGATGGGGAATGCCGAAGGGGTCATGGCGCAGGACACCGCCTCCCAGGAGGCCCAATCCAGGGATAAACGTCCCTTGATGAAGGAGAAACCCCGGACCTCTGCACTCGAGAGGCTTGGGGGAGCTCCCATACGCCGAGGGGTCCAAGACCGCCTCGGCAAACAGGAATTCAACAGGCCTCAGGAGAGTGGAGCCTCCGCTTTGGGAGCCGAGGGCGTACCTCCACCCCGGAGCAAGGGCAAAGCCCTCCTCCATGCCGATGACGCCAGACACCAGATCAACCAGGCGCAATCCTTCCGGGCCAACTCCCAAGGGGTTGCTCCGAAGGATCCCAAGGATGAGATCATTGAGGCCCTCCTCCGTCAACTTGAGGAGAATCGTCAGGCACCGCCGACGGCTTCCACAGCTAGACCAGATCCGGAATACGCTGACCTCCGGGCACAAGTGGAGGAAATGAGGCGTAAACTGGCCGAAGGCTCCGGTGAGCCCCTCATTCAACTCCGCACTAGAACACCCTTCACCCCGAGGGTGTTGGCGGCCAAAATCCCTCACAAATACCGGGGGCAACCCATCAAGCCGTATGAGGGGAAGACGGATCCCCAAGAGCACTATAGCCGTTACCAAAACAGCATGATGATGATGGGGGCATCGGATGAATACTTATGCCGTTGGTTCCTTTCCACCTTGGAGGGGCCCGCGTATGAGTGGTTCAACCGGTTGCCCGAAGGCAGCATTGATTCTTGGCAAGAACTTGCCCACCGCTTCCTCACACAATTTGCAGGGAGGCACCGTTCAAAGAAACACTTTTCCCACCTCCTAAACGTGAGACAACAAAAGGAGGAAACCCTTCGGAGTTTCCTAGAACGCTGGAGGCAGGCCTCCCTCGAGGTTGAGGGCGCCGATGACAGGACCCTGATGGCCCTCTTCCACACCGTCCTCCGCAACGGTAACTTCTCCAGGAGTCTTATCACTGATCCCCCCCGCGATTATACAAAAGCCCTCCAGCGGGGGGACCGATATGCCGAAGCGGAGGAGATCGAGAAGGACCGCCGCAACACGGATCCTTCCCAGAAGAATGAAGGCAGGAATCGGCCCGGAGGACCTCCTCCTCCGGCCAACCGCGAGGCTCAGTATAATGATCGCCCCCGAGGTGGCCAAGCCAGAACCGGGGGCGGTTACAAAAACAATCCGAAGGCATGGGCACAACCCGTCCTCCTGGAGCACCCACGCACTCCCTTGACGCACCCCGTCAGCGTCATTCTTGACCATGCGGAAGAGCGGGGGCTCGTTGAGCGGGACTCCCGCACACCCCTCGAGATCTATGCCATCGGCCCTGATGAGCCGTATTGCCGCTTCCACCGCCACCATGAACACAAGACCGACGACTGCCATCAGCTGAAGAACGCCATCGAGAGGCTGATACAGGCGGGCCACTTGTCCCAGTTTATCAGGGGCCCTCCGCCCCAGGGTCCCCCTCATCATCAAGGCCCTCCGCC